GTGTGAGGCATGCATAGCAGCGAGGGGTTGATTTGGCTTCACAGCAATTGGAAAAAGAGTTTGTGAGAAATAAATAACTGCATTGTGCAAACTTTCCTCCCCCTTGTGTTTCACTTTTTGATAATGAGCTATGGCATCTGCTTTTGATGTTGTTTGACTCAAATGACTGGAGTAACACTATTGTTTAGCTCTATTTTCTGCTGCTTGCATTCAGAGTGGAATTATGGAATTCATAATGCTTTCTAACTCAACAGTCTTATAGCAATGTCATGTGATTTTGGTGTAGTAGTGCAGCATCTCATCTGGCAAACTTTTATTTTCAAGTGATATAAGGTATCTCCATTTTCTAAAAGTTAAAGGTATGCTAAACAATCACACATAGGCATGAGTTGACATAAGATTCTCATATTATAATAACATTGAGTAACTTACCCACATCAATAATGAAGAAAAGAAATATAAACATTTTCTAGTAGAAATAGTTCAGTATCTGGAAATACCACAAAATTGAAAATGATCAACTTTCAAAATTTAAGCTGTAATGGCTATTGCAAAACATTGAATTAGGCAATAAAAATGTTAAAACCCTTCATGCTTAGCACTGAGCTAACTGCAGTTAACATGCAAATTGAGGTACATGCACAATAACACTTCACACTAACAAGAGAATATTATATTTTCATCAACTTACCAGAGAAACCATTATTCAAGATCAAGCCACATCTCATATTTGTAGTAGCTTTAATAACAGCAGTAGTTCAGGGACTGCAGCAGATATTGCTCTTATATGTGAGAATAAAACTGCTGTAATATTTCTCCAATAAACAGGTAGTCTAAAGAAAAGTACAAACCACTTTCATATCCCTTACTGTCCTGACCTTGACTTCAACACAAATAAAAATAAAATTCAAAGAGTGGTTTTGTGACCTTATTCTTAACATTTATGTCTGTCAAATAAGTTGAGAACTATTTCTTCTGTAGTGCAGCCAAAAAAATATAGTCTAAGACAAGAAGAATAGGAAGATGTACAGGCATTCTTTGAAATGTTGTGTTATCTTTATAGCTATCTTCAAACAAAGCACAGGCAATTCTAGTTTTTTTATTATTATTATTATTATTATTATTATTTCTTTAACACATTAACAACCCTTTCTCATAAATGTTCTCTATCTAAAGGCATAAGGTTCATTCATTTGATTAACACTTGGTTTTATTTTGCAGAAAACACATCTTGCAAGAATCCAGCACACTGTATGTTCTTTGTTCTCAGTGTCTCTGTTATTGTGCGTGTTCGTTATAGGCTGAGCTGCATGGCATTCTGAAACCATCTATTGTCACAAACTCAATGGGAAATGGTATTTGATGGCCTGTAAAACAGTAGTCAATGGATGCAGGAGGCAGACCAGGAAGGCGGCGTAAAAGAGGCTATTTCAAGCTCATCAAAGTGATTCAGTGTAACACAACAGAGGAAGCTGAATTGGCAGCTTGCAGACACAGACAGGAAAGCCAACAGCAGCTGGGACTGATGTCTCGGGAGTAATCACATACAGGTTATATAAAAACAAACCCACATACACTGATATACTGCCACACAGCCAGGCCATAAGACATTCAGACCGGGACTTAATTATAGACTCTCTTAGACATGATGTCGGTAGCTGAGAAGCCCAGCAGCTGATGTTAATTTATTGGAGAAGATGAAGGAATGGTTTGATAACTTGAAATAGCCTCAGCAAAATTGGTCTCCGCATGACGGATAAATTGCTCTGCTGTCACCATGGCAAAAATCACAATAAATATCTGTTGATGCCAAAGTGTCAACAGGTAATTGTGGAAATGCAAACTATTTTCTATAAAGTCATGTCCTTTCAGTGACTTTTGGTATCAATATCAGCAAACTTTGCATGAATACGATAAAAATCTGCCAAATTGTCAAGGTGAGACATGTGAAGCTGTGACTTGCTGTGCTTTACTACTCTTTAGATGACTGTTTTAATCATAAAACACAGCATATGTTTCTTGAAAGCAGGATGTTGTCATTGTTAGATGTTTTAATGATGGTTAACACAGACGACGGGTGTGAAGAGACAGATTTCAGATCACAGCCTGCAGGTTTAATATGACAACACGTTTGCTTTTAAATATAAGCAATTCATTTACAAGTGACACTTATACTTCAGCTTTAATAAACAGAGATTTAAATGTCAGCTTAAACAAACTAAGTAGTTTCAAAAAATATCTGCTTGCTTAGAAATACGTTCATTATTGGAATGTTTTTGTCAAGCAATGTATGATTACATCACAAATTTTAAGATGAATACAATGTGTGGTTTTCATATCCCTCCTTTTGGTTGTATAAACCTGCTTATCCTGCCATCAAACATTTGAGATCTCAGTCTTTCATGCCCTTTTTGGGGTTCACATTTCTTGCTTTGCATTTTAATTCAGGGTTTTGAACTTCCAGTCACAAACTCATAACCAGCCATTATCCTTAAAGATTTTCTGGTGGGAAACAGAATTTATGTATTTTCCAGGGACATACTGCCATTTTATAACAAAGTGAACTATCTATGTCACTTTCAGTTGTTGTGAAAATGCTGATAAATACTGAATACATAAATATATTAATTGGCCATTAAGAATCTCTTTCCAACACATTAAGGTTCTGAGGTAGCATAAAAGCCCTTGATCATCACAATGCTGTTACACTAATTTCTTTGATGCTCTTTTTCTGAAATTTTGGGGTTTTGTGAGCTGGGCCCTTTGTGAATGTTTTGTTTTGTTTTTCTTTTTGGACTTATTCCTTTAGACATCAAGTTAGAGCTGCACCGCTTTACCTATTCTTGACCCTTTTGATGGATGGTTCCCAAGCAGGAAATTCTTTTGGTGTTTCAGAGTCTTTCAAAGCATTTGGTAACATCTTGTAGAATAATAAAATTTGTCAAAAGCTGTTTCTTAACTTTTCTTGAATTTCTTGACTGGGGAGTAAGCCATGTTGGCTTTGTTGATCTTTCATCCTTCTTAGCCTGACTTCAAGATTTCTTGATTCTACAGATCTGGAAGTCACCATTCTTATAAATATTCTGTGAAAAGGGAAATTATTACTTTTTAGTCAGGTTAGTCTTGATAGCTTGTATCCCTTAATAAATAATAATAATAAAAAAAGAACTTAAAACCTCAGTTTGAATGTACTAAGGTTATCTTAAAATATTATAATTTGAGGATCATTTGAGGATGGCAAGAAAACAAAAGCCGAAGATATTTCAAAGGGACAATGTTTGTACACTTGCAGTGAGAGTAAGCAATTCCAACATATTAATATTATTGTTGCATATTTTTTTTAAAAACTTTCCTTATACAACAATGAGGCTGAAGGATATTTTCCATCAGAATATGATTGAACTTAGTTAGCATTGCTTAATTTGCATAAAGGTTCCCCCTGTTTGCGAGTCACATCACACCTGTGCATCATGTCATCTGTGGTTGGCACCAGAATACAAAACAGATGGGAAGAGCAAATTTCAAGGTCAGGTAAATACCAACAGTGCAACCGCAAATCTGGCCCTGACAGCCTTGTTCAGTTTGTATTTTTCCCCATAGCACACCTTAAAAATTTGTTTATTCTCATTTATGCAAAATGAACTAATAGCATCACAAGGACTCCTAGTGTAAGACTGACTGCCAGGAATGTTTTGGTTAAGTGGGACCTGCTTTAATTAGGATTCTCTTACCTCATCTGGGTAATGAGTTCACCACAGTTTCTTCAGACTTGTGTTTATGTCGCCTTTGATTTACACCATCTTAAACAGAATTTAGCTTGGTGCAGATGCAGACCTTTGACAAAGCAGACAATTTTTGACATTGTCCATAAGTAGGGTCCTGTGGTTTTGTTGTGCAAAACAGTCAATTAAATAATCTGATTATTATGTGCACACATCAGGCTTTATTCAGAATAGAAGCACATTCATGCGCAGAGTTATATAATTCCTGTAAAAAACACAGGAAACAGTTGTACTTCTGTCTGTGCTGGACATAAACAATCGCAGTCGTGTGCTCATTCAGTGGTGTTATAAAAAAAGAATACGTTTTTGAAAAATTTGTTTCATTGTGTAGATGAAGTTTTGTTTAAAACTCTTTAGTCTTTTCCCATCATGAGACACATTTTCATATGTCAAACGTGAAAAATGTTTGTGTTGTTTACTTTTGGAATAAAAATATGACTTTGACAGAACAATATTAATATAAAGCGTACTTGAAGGCTCAAATATTAAATATCAGGTATACCCAGTGCAAGTTGGAAAACTACACAAATGGGCTAAAAATCAGTTAGAAACATTTTTTTATTTTATTCCAGGGCTCTATTTCTGAAATTGTCATAAAATTGTGATTAGACTGATCATATTTTTGCCATGTTCGTCCCTATCAACGAATAGAACCAATTCAGTTTGCAGTCAGATGGCACATTTAGGAAAGGCATCACAAGGAAAGCGGTGTGTTGCAGTCAGTTTCCAATGGTTGTCAGTTTAAGCAATGAATGAAGGTCCGCCAGACCTCGAGGACGCCTTACAACTGGACTGAACAGAACCAGCATTTCAGGAAGTTTGATTGGAGTTGTGTTTTAGTTTTGCACGAAGGATGTCAGATGTCGTCTCTGCAACGCTGTGCAGGGTGTATTGACATTTATGGGTGCCCTCGTGTATCCTGTGGTTCCACCATTGTGTCACTGTGACATCTGTTCGCCCCAGTGAAGATAGTAAAGCAGCAAGGTGCTTAGGCTGACTTTAAACTAGTGAGCTGGAAGAAAAGCTACCATTGCCAATGAAGGAAAGCTGGTTGCAGCAGGCAGGAGTAGAATGAATGAAAAAGATAATAAATCTGAAACATAGCGCAGAACAAGACAGACATAAAAGAGCTAATAGAACAATATTTGAAATGTTTAAATATTTGTCATCTTCAGACATACGATCCTCATATGTGTTTTCTGTATTTTTCACTGACAGGCTTGTTGAATTTGGAGCAGCTGCTCAGACAGTTCCTAATCTCTAAGGAAACCCTGTCAGTGCGCATGTTGGATGATAGCCAGGACCCGACCCCTCTCCTGAAAGAGATCCGTGACGACAAGACGGCCACCATCATAGTGGACGCCAATGCCACCATGTCACATATCATTTTAGAACGGGTAAGTATATGTCGCATAACGTTCATGTTATCTGTGACTCTACATGCTTGACTTGAGTTTTTACATATATTTCTTACAACATGCAAAGAAATGGCAAGGCGCATGAAACATTTTACATTTTATTTTGTAACCAAAACAGGTATGTCCTTTTTTTAACCACATGACTTTTTTTTTTTTTTTTTGCTTTTTTACTTTCAATATCACTCTAAATAAGATAAATATCATTTTCACCACAAAATTTAATGTTTTGTCTTAGATCATAAGATTGACAAAAAAATTAAATAATTAACCTTCTGGTTGTTTAGTCCCAGAAAGTTAGAAAAATAACTGAGCTGTACACCAGTGCTACACAAATCAGCTGCAATTAGTAATAAATGAGGGCATTGAGTCATAGAAATAAAGTTTAAAGAATTCGGTGGCCATTATGACAACTGGGTCATAATAGATCAGGCTTTTTTTCTCTTTTTAATGTGGAATATAGCAGGATTAAAACACATGTAAAGTGAAACAAAATGCTCTTTGAATGAATTTGTTGAATCCTTACTCCAAAGGGATCTTTTTTTACATTACAATGTAAATGCAGTATGCAAAGCTATAAAGAAAAAGAGCTTTCAGACAGTATTAGTCATTTCCTGCCTCTATGTTTGAGTGACCTTTTTGTGCTTCTTTACTAATGGAACATATGAGTAGTTAATGTCTCAGAATATTACTAACACCCAGGATTTCATCATGAAGTGAACCTCTCTACCTCTTAATGGACACATGGTTCTGAAGAAGACGTGATAGCGTTGTTCCTCTTTTAAAGAAAAATGCTCCACATTGTTCCTAAACTCAGTAAATGGATGTCTGGAGAGGAGTTAACATTAAATGGAGAGAAAAGAGGGCGAGAGGGAGAAGATTTTATTCATTTCTTTCATTCAGAAGCTCTGTGCTGGTAGCAGCAGGAGTCCATACAGTCATGTCTCTTTTACGTTTTTGTCTCTGCTCCTTCTGTTTGGAGTTTACTTTTCCACACAATATATATTCATGTTTTTCCTCATAATTTCACTTTTCATTCTGCTGTGTATTTTTTACCCACAGTGCCTTTAAAGTATGTAAACCATTCAAGCCTTTGGACTGAAAGTAAACATAATCTAACATGTACTTATTATTATCTTCCCCTTACGCAGGAACTGGTCGTGGAGTAGTGACGTAATGTACACAAACAACCTGATTCTTTTTATCAGCTCTCTACTCCAAACTGTAGGAATACAAATTCCTCTGTTGTCCCATATTGGGGACATTTCAATGCGACAGAAGCAAAGAGCCAAGCAATCAAAGCAAGTCAGTTCCTACAAAGATAAGAATATGCAATATATAAAACAGAATAAAGAACAGCATACTGTACAGTACAGGCAAAAATTCAACATAAATACTGTGTAGTCACTGAGTAGGTTAAAAATGTACAAAATGTGTATGTTAGCATTCAAAAGTCAATAAGTTAGAATACAAATTGTGCAACGATGGAGATGTGCAGACACCAGCAGAAATGTTATTCAGAATTAGCAAAGATGGACCATTTTTTGTTGCCTTAATTGATATATTTACTGATGCAAGAGGATATTTGTTCTATCTGTTATCTTTCTTTTTTGCTTCTGTTTTTTTTTAATCACAAATAGCTCTAAAATATTATTGCTGTCCTCTAAATATTTGACATTTCTGTTTGAAATTTTATATTTTAATCAAAACATATACATAAGCAGTGCCTCGGGAAATCCCAAGAAACGTGTATTAGGTCTTATTCACAGATGACTCCATGACAAAGGCTCACAAAACAGAAGCTCACAGCCTGATTGGAAATGGAACAAAAGCTGAAAACGTCTAAACATATTATATAAATCAGACAAAAGCTCGCTTTTGTTTGCACTCTTTCCCAGTAATAGCTGTTGACAGTCAGTGCTGAGGGTTGGAGTTATTGCATACTCTAAAGGAACTGCCTTTTTCCAATACCCCCTTTCAGTTCATCAGGTCTGGGGACGATTCCTCTGAAGCTTTGTTCTTTCAGTGATCTGATTTGTAATGTGCCAACATTCAAATGGCCAAACCTCCTCCATTTTTTTTTCTCTCATTTGTTTGACATCATTATAAAGCTTAGAATCCTCACTTTCAGAATACGTCAATAACTCAAAATGCCTCCTGGGGAGACTTGTTCCTGGTTTTCTCTTCCCCCATCATATTTTTTGAAACTGCAGCTCTGTGATGTTGTTATCTGTACTGGTTTCCTCACCTGTAGGATGTCATATCCCCTAAGTCATGTTGGAAAAGCAAACATATTCTTGAAGAGGTGGAAAAGCAGATATACTCTGTATTAATCTGCTTTATCAGCTGATTTGGACAAGCTGATCCTTA